AATTTTAGCCATACTACTGTTTGAATCATTACCCAAAAAAAACCCATGTCTTCAATCTCCACCTGGTAAGCGCTTTCTCTTCTGTCCCCTATCCTTCAAATCAATGGTTCATGTGATCCGGTAGTTCAAATTATTCAGGAATATTTGGTGGTGATTATATTTCTTGTAAATCCTGTCCGTTCTTGCCCCAAATTTCATTCACGTTGAATCTTCTCTTCAAATCACAGAAGGTTACACTTTTTGATTGTACAGCATTTTTGTGAATCCAGTTGGTTTTCTCCACATCAATTTCAGATTGAGGTCATGATGGACCCCGGTTTCCAGTTATTTCTGCATTTTTACAATACTTTCAGTTTAAGGTCGTGAGGGACCATCGTCTTTTCCATTTTCCGACCATTTCTAGATTTCAGTTTAAGGTCATGAGGGACCCACTGTCAGTTTAAGGTCATGAAGGACCCCTTTGGCTTTTTGCATTTCAGTTTAAGGTCATGAAGGACCCTGCTTGACTTTTTTTTAGACTGTTTGATTTTCAGTTTAAGGTCATGAAGGACCCTTTTTTTTTCCTGCTTGACTTTTTGATGAATTCTGTTTTGCCTAGCCAATCCTTCAGTTTACTGCATAACCCCCTATACGAAATTTGACCTGATGCTGTTGTATTTTTGTTTGGAATTGATGGTGTCTTCTGATCTGGCCAAATCTTCTTCCTGTACTCAATTTTCTATGATGCAATTGCAATCTCTATTCAATCAATGATGGAAGACCCATATTCCAAATTAAAATCTTCCCCTCCGCATTACTAGGCGCCACCATCTGGACCCTCAATTGATGACTGGATTTCTTCGCAAAAAAATTGATTCTGATTACTCGGACTTCTAACTCCGACTAAATTGTGCAGAATGCAATTATGTGATCGGCAAGTGTAAGTCTTGTCTTATTTACTATGGCTTCTGATCATCCAATACTAGGGCTGATGGTGTGCTCTTTGGCTTTGGTTTCGATCACCTGCTAGGCCGATCAACATCCAAAATTAATATCCACCACCTCACTCAAACATCATCTCCGGTGATCCTTCTTCAGCCATTGCCAGCCAGGAAAAATCCAGGATAGTCGTGCTTGTTTGTGCATTGCTGTACAAAGTTCTTTATTTGTTGATTTGTATGCTATTTGATTAAGGTTCTCCTAGCACCATTCTTCGATCTGACGATATTCACAACTGTGCATCCTTCTCAATTCTGCCAAGATGCATTTAATTGCATTCATCCATCCTGGACAATCTCATCCCGCTCTGTTCAATTGACCACCAGCATCTCCGATCGTTTTTCTTCTTGGTTGACGACATCTTTCCAGAGGACTCCACTGTGCCTGTGTCCGTTCATTGTGTGCTATAGTCTACCTAGCTTGTTACATAGCCGTTACATCGGACTTTATCTTGTTTTGCTTCATAAAGAATTTGATCACCGAGCTGTGGCTTATGGTGTGCTCCAAAATTATGCCTTGTGACCGTCTTCTCATCAATCAATCAAAAAATTCCGCTCATCTCATCCCCATTTCCTTCTGCCGGTTCTCGGAAACCCGTCGGCTTTCATTTGAGCAGATTGATGTGTAGCCCCTACCCTTGCAAATATAAAAGCAGGCTCTCTGCTTGCCTTCCTCCTCCTCCTCTATTACCATCTTCAACCACTCTTACTGAGAGAGATTGAACTCGGTTTGAAGCCATTTCTTGTACATGGCTAGATTGTTCTTTGCAATAACACTTCATTCCCTTGCTTGGTATTTCTCCTTCAGTTTCTTGTCTCCAGTAAACCACTAGTTGTTCGGGCTTGGAAGTTTGAGCTATCTTTCTGCTGGTCACTTAATTGATCTTTATATGTATTGCTTCAGACCATCAATAGTTTGAAATCATTAACGGCTTGAATGTACAGCCATCGCTTCCAGCACATTGTCATTAACTTGACATCCATAAACTTTTGTACGAAGATCTTCTCCCAAGGAGCAATTGTTGCTTAGGTAGTTTTGTTTCTAATCGCTTCTGTGGATCCTTAGAGATTTCCCTCTCGCGCGAAGTCTTTCAACATGCAATTAGATTCTTCTTGCTTGTCTGGAAAGCCGAGCTTATCGCCTCCTTTGTTATCAACCTTGTCTAAATAGTTTGCTTCTTGTTGCTACCTTTTCTGGGACTGAACCTGCTACAATGGCTAATATAGCTTGTTCCAAGCTGTCTTCCCACTTTTCTCTAAACACTCATCGCTGGTCCAAATTATAACAGATCGCTTCAGATCCTCGATAATGCAATCGCTTCAAGAGCTTTGCTGTTAGATTTGAAACCTTCAACATTGACGCCAAGTTCCTCTTGCGTAGAACCATTCTTTTTAAGTTTTTTTTTTTTTTACCCTTGACCACTTTTGAGCCTTTGCAATTGCCTAGGTTGTGTTCTGTGACCAATCGGTTGAAGAGCATGTTGCCTTTTCACCTATGCCTTCTTGTGCAAACTCTTCAAACATGTAGATAGTTCCTGCCCGCTGATCAAATCACCTCGCTTCCTGTCGCTACCTGTGCTGGGACCGATCCTGATACATAGTATCCATTGTCAAACTGCTCCATCTTCTTATCTAACTGCACGCGCCGGCTCCTCTCTTGTAGAAGTAGTCCTGGCTTGATACTTCTAAATTATTTTGAGTGAGCCGATTGCTGAAACGACTAGGAGTTAAACATTGAGATAAACATAATCTTTTTCGCGCGAGCTGTATTATCACATAACTAGTTTTTGCCTGGTTGTCTAAGCAGCTTAATTGAGCTTGTCACCATCTTCGCTGGGACAGATGCTAGTTTCTTGTGGGGTTCTGATTGCTTGCTCCAAGCTCGCTCCTCTGCAATTTGACCCAGAAAGAAACTAAGCCTTGCTTTTGAAATCACTCGTTTGGTTCACTCTTTAGTTGAGATGTTGATTGCTTGCTGTTAGATTCTTTCCAATGGGATTTGAATCATCATACAAGGTAGGCTTCCCCTTTCGCAATAGCTGTTCTTCTGATCCTAACCCCTTGGATATGTGACTGATCGCGCTCATCTGTTCTTTGTAAGCTTATTGTTGGATCAAGATGAAATAAAAGCTGTTTGTATGTGAATGTAGTTCTTGCTCTTTCTTGTGAGTTGGTGGTAGTTTTATTCAAAACCCAAAAGAGAAAGATAAAATCTGGCCCCCCCTTTTCTACTTGTTTTTTTTTTTCAAGATGCTATGTGAGTCCTGAATTCACCAGGTGGTTTTTTTCCTCAAAACCAAATCCCACAGCTACTGAGATATTCATGGCTATTTCTAAATGACTAGTCTTACAACTTCTGGCTTCTAACTCTCTTTTCCTATCACTATCTGTACTTTTTCTTCCTTCATCATACATAATCTCTGTTGTCCCCATATTTGAAAGAAAAATAAAAGAGTTTTGTTTTCTAATAATACATTATGTTGATAGACAAATTCAATACTGTGATGGAGTACCCTCCTTCATGGTACCAAAAACGGATTTTCTCTCCTTTGAAAAAGGTTTGTATCCAGTTATGTTCTTTTCAGCCCACTTCAGGCTTTTTTTGTCTTCATTATATATGCTGATTCTGAGTTTATATCCAATTGGGCCATATCTAGATTCCCAGTTTCCTTCCTTCAAGAATGCTTCTGTTCCAACATCAGTGAGAATATGTATAAAATCCAATTTGCTCAATCCTCCACCAGGTAGCTCCTGAAGTAGATCATAGTTTCTTTTCACTTCATCATAATACCATTCTTCTGAAAATACCTTTCTAAAAAGTTTGAGGGGTCTTTCATCCTTCCAAAAGTTGTTGGAGCGTTTTTTATGCAAAGATGACAATTCTTCTCGAAAAGTCTCTATCTCTTGAAATTCTGAATCTGGTCCTTGCTGAAAGGTATCATCTTGGTTTGGAATTTGGGAAGTTTCTACTGAATTCTGTTCTTCATCTCTGATATTTGCCACTCTGTTCTCTCTAGATTCATAATATTGACTCCAATCTTCTGCTTGCAGTGAATAAATATTGCCCAAAATTATGGAATAATTATCCAAAACTGGTTTTATTGTGTGTGACTCATATCTTCCTTTATCTTTACAAATCTCCAGACTTTGATCCTCAAAAATATCTGGAAAATTGGATGGAACTATCGGTGATTTCTGTATCTGTTTGAGTAACATACTGACTGACTCCTGCATACTGCGTATTGAGTCCTCCAGTCTCGATATTTGAGCAGATTGGTGCTTTAGAATGATGGATGACCACTCCATACAAGGTTCTTCTTGGGTGGACATTTCTGAAATATTTCCGTCAAGTAGTTCACAATTTTCACCAGGTGGGTCCTGCTCCTTGTTCTTATCCACTTTTATCTAGTCTTCTGGTGCTGAGGGAGAGTTATTGTTGATCTTCTGAAAGTTTTCGGCCACTGTTGGGACACCAGATGTGAGAACTCCTTTGGGAATGGTGGCAGTCCTGTGAGGGGGAAATAGCAGATGAGATATATCACGTATGTAATGATCTACTACAACTGTTACGGCTGGTTTGAAAGACCTGCCCCTCTATTGTACTACACTAGAGTTAACACAACAATTTATTTATTGTTGTGGCAAAAAACTGATGATAGAGAAACTATGGGTAGCAGTCTCTTATCAAACCTAGATCAACGTGGATTCAGCAGACTATTCGAGTGGAAATGTTGAGTAAGAGATGTTTTTTTGTTTATATGTTTATGTATTTTGAAAAATGATTGACGTATGTACTGATGATGAATGTGAATCTATGAGATGATAGTGAGGAAAAATGTGACTATTGACCGTGTCTTTCCCTTCCTCCTTGAATCTTGGTCAAGAGCACAATGGTTTAAGATCACTGTCTCTTGTTTAAGATCACAAGTTGTACTGGTTACTACTTTCTTTCTCCTATGCTTCTCAATGTCTGAATGATCTCGATGGGGCACTTTTATTAAGATCACACTGGTTAATGTATGGATTGATTGCTCTGTTCTGTCTGGTTGATGATCAGATGAGATGATCTGTTGTGATGAGATGATCTGATGAGATGAGATGATGAGATGAGATGATGATGAAAAATTGGAATGAGGGGGGGAAAGCCCCTCATTAAATAGTCTATTTTACAACCCGGCTGACTTGTGGTTCTAGCCCTAACCAATAATCTATAAATGGCCAACTTGTGGTTCTAGCCCTATACATGATTCTCAGTGTACATACAAACAATGTGGCTCACTTGTGGTTACCCTATGCAATGAATATTGAATATGTAAGCTAGCTAAGGCCAACTTGTGGTTTACATTATGCAATAAGCATTTTGTATGCAAATAAAATTTAAATCCCAAATAACTTTTGACTGAGTGGAGCTAGCCTAGTGGTTCCAGTGAGTGACTATGGGTTAAATGCCCCGTAGAATGTGATTATGCCATAATACGCCTAAGAATATATGCCCTTCTACATATTGAACTGTGACTTTATGCAATTTGATACTTGAAACACAATTGGCATACTACACCGCCCTTCGGGAGTTGTTTCCCGACGAGGCCGACGGCGTGTTCAATGCCATTCCTGCCGACGCGGTCGAAGCCGTCCTTGTGGATATCCAGGGTCGGTTTGAGACGATCCTCAGCATTTCAGTGCTCCCTCCGTCTCTCCGCCGCTCCAACTACGCAGACTTCCTCTCCGAGATCCGCAAACTCCGCCGCCACCGACTCCAGGTAATGGCCGTGTTCAACCCCGGCCTCGCCACCTACCCCGATGGAAATGGTGACGGTCCTGCTCCCGGCTCCAGCTCGTCCTAGTGTTTCTTCTTCTTCCTCCTCCGGTACCCTCTTGTATATAGTCTAATTCCTTCTGTCTGAAATAAAACCTGCTACATTTGAGCTTACGTGTCCGAAGAAGCCACGCAAAGACTTGCCTAAGTGCCTGGTCCGCCCCAGAGAGAGAACCACTCAAGTCCCCGCACTTATTCTTTTTTTTTTTTTTTTTTTTTTTTTTTTAACCTTTTATTCTTTTTATTCTTTTTATCCTTTTATTTGAAACCAGACCGTTTGAAACCAGAAAATCACGCCAATCCACAAGGTACCTGGTCCGCCCCAGAAGGATTTCCTCACAAAAATCCCCGTACCTCTCCTGCAAACAAATACACAAAAACAAGCCAGTGAAAAGTGATAACAAAACTGAAAGCAATCTCCATAGGGTAACTGACATCCTGGGGTGGCTAGTTTACCCGGCTGTAGACCAGCTAGCGCACCCCCTCACCAATAAATGCTTAGCGTTTACCGCTAACTCCTCCTCTCCGCCCCAGACCTTGACCGCTGTCCCCAGTGGTCCCCTTTAGCCTCTTACTCCGCCGTGGTTGCGGAGCCGCTGGCATCGGTTGCTCCGAGGCCTCCTCCTCCTCCTCCTCCGCTTCAGAACCACTCCCAGACTCCGAGTCCGCCGCCGAGGCATCATCTCCTTCCTCTCCCGCCGCGTCGGACTCATCGTCTGAATTGCCCCTCTGCTTCGGCATCTTCACCACCTCTTCTTTGTCGTCCGTGTCCGTCGTCTCATCGAAGGACGCGGAACCCCTAGCGTAGAACCGCTTGACGTGAGCCGCAGCCGCTCGACGTTTCAGCCAAGTGCCGTCCAATTCTTCCAGCTGATAGCTACCGCCGGGGAACTGGCTGACCACCCTGTACGGGCCGTTCCAACGGTTGGAAAACAACTTGCCCCACTGCGACTCCAAACTCCGATTGTAGAGCAGCACAAGATCGCCCTTCCGCAACGAATCCCTGAGCCGACTTTGTTGAAGGTGTAATCCCTGTAGAAGGGAATACAAGCAGCAATGTCATCAGCGGTGATGAGCCTGCTGCCACACCTGCTGAGCTT